AATCCAATCATGAAATGGGCAAAAGACATGAACAGAAATCTCACAGAGGAAGACATAGACATGGCCAACATGCACATGAGAAAATGCTCTGCATCACTTGCCATCAGGGAAATACAAATCAAAACCACAATGAGATACCACCTCACACCAGTGAGAATGGGGAAAATTAACAAGGCAGGAAACAACAAATGTTGGAGAGGATGCGGAGAAAAGGGAACCCTCTTACACTGTTGGTGGGAATGTGAACTGGTGCAGCCACTCTGGAAAACTGTGTGGAGGTTCCTCAAAGAATTAAAAATAGACCTGCCCTACGACCCAGCAATTGCACTGTTAGGGATTTACCCCAAAGATTCAGATGCAATGAAACGCCGGGACACCTGCACCCCGATGTTTCTAGCAGCCATGTCCACAATAGCCAAACTGTGGAAGGAGCCTCGGTGCCCATCGAAAGATGAATGGATAAAGAAGATGTGGTTTATGTATACAATGGAATATTACTCAGCCATTAGAAACGACAAATACCCACCATTTGCTTCAAAGGGGATGGAACTGGAGGGTATTATGCTGAGTGAAGTAAGTCAATCGGAGAAGGACAAACAGTGTATGTTCTCATTCATTTGGGGAATATGAATAATAGTGAAGGGGAATATAAGGGAAGGGAGAAGAAATGTGTGGGAGATATCAGAAAGGGAGACAGAACATAAAGACTTCTAACTCTGGGAAATGAACTAGGGGTGGTGGAAGGGGAGGAGGGTGGGGGGTGGGGGTGAATGGGTGACGGGCACGGAGGGGGACACTTGACGGGATGAGCACTGGGTGTTATTCTGTATGTTGGTAAATTGAACACCAATAAAAATTAATTTATAAAAAAAAAAAGAAAAAAATAAAACTGAGAATATTAAAAAAAAAAGGTTTTATGCTGTGAAGTGATACTAGGCTTAGTAGTTTATCAAAATCATTTGGACAGTGGTCAGGAAGAAGAAGGGCATGGGGCAAGAAGGAAACTAGGACTTCCAGTAATCTAGGCAGAAGATAATGAGAGGGAGGGTGTAGATGTAAGGTTTCGACAAACGAATATAATAAATACTGAGGAAATGAAACAAAGTATTTGGTTACTGATCAATGGTGGCACACCCATCAAGATTCAGAATCTGAGGGACGTGGGGGGGCTCAGCAGTTGAGCATCTGCCTTCGGCTCAGGGCGTGATCCTGGGGTCCCGGGATCAAGTCCCACATCTGGCTCCCTGTGAGGAGCCTGCTTCTCCCTCTGCCTGTGTCTCTGTGTCTCTCATGAATGAATAAATAAAATCTTAAAAAGAAAACAAAGAAAAGAATCTGAGGAGAATTCGGTTTCAGACATAAAGACTGAGATATTTATAAGGTCACCAGATGAAGATAGGTAGTCTCCAGATGAAGACTGGTATTCTGAAGAAATCTAAGCTGAAAAAAGTCTGATGAGTCACCAATACATGGTTCTTGGAGACATGAAAGTAAATGAACACTGAAATTTTTTTTTTTAATTTTTTTAATTTTTATTTATTTATGATAGTCACATAGAATGAGAGAGAGAGAGGCAGAGACACAGGCAGAGGGAGAAGCAGGCTCCATGCACCGGGAGCCCGATGTGGGATTCGATCCCGGGTCTCCAGGATCGCGCCCTGGGCCAAAGGCAGGCGCCCAACTGCTGCGCCACCCAGGGATCCCAAACACTGAAATTAAACCTGTAGAGAAAGCAGACAAAAAGGCCAACCACAGAACCTTGGATTATTCCAATATTTACTAATGAGGCAAAACAGCCTACAAAAGATGTTAAGAAGTGGTCAGAGAGACAAGGAGAATAAAGAGACCACCACCATCACAAAAGCTGCAAGGGAGACATTTACAAAAAAAGAAGAGTCAAGTAAGGACAGGACTTAACAAAAGTTAACTATTAAACTCATGAAAATTTCTACTTTTATAGTGAAATGTATGGTGCAAAAGTTGTGAGCACCACGTATAATTAGCTATTTTGACTTGCTAGAGACTATCAAGCCTCCTATTGATAACTTTTTACCCAGTCAAGACAATTTTTTTTTCAAGACAACTTTCTTTTCATATTTCCCCCAAAGACTATTACACATCTTCTCCAACTTCTTAGTTTAGAGATATCCTGGACTACTTTATCATTAAGAAATTAGGTAAGAATGAACCATTGAAATTTATCTTTATCTTCACTCTACCTATCATTATTCCTCTTTGCTCAGGACAGGGCACTCTAAGTTGTTTTGAAAGCTAAACCCTCAATTTTTGGTGTTAGTACCATCCCAATTCCCTCAAGATTTTGGATAATATTCCCTACCCTTAAATTACAAAATCAACTACCATAATTAATCTAATGGTTTCTTTCAGTCTCAATATATTTGATCCCATTGTACTGAATGCTATGATGACCAACTCTTTTTCTAAAACTTTATACTATTCATTTCTATGGTGGTACACTCTCCCAATTCTCCTATTTCATTGTTTTCTCTTTTCTCTAGCTAAGTACTAGTATTCTTCACAAAGGCTCTGTGTGTGGCCCTATTTTCACACTACATTCTATGTCTAGACAATCTACTGAATATTTCAAAATAATACACATGACACCATGACTCCCAAAATCTAGTCTCCAGAGCCATGTGAACTGTATTTCCGATCTGTATTCAAATAATTTACTTCAATATTTTTCAAGGACCTGAAATCAAACAGGACTAAAGCCAAAATTCTCTGCTCTCCTAAATCTGCATCCTCTTCCTTTGTTTTCAATCTTGCATAAAATTTAGAGCCATCCTTGATGATCCCTTATTCCTTGGCCACTTCTCTTTTCCATGACAAAAACTTCTTTAGACTATGTCCCCTTCATTAGCAAAGCCTGTGACCCCAATTCTGGCTTCTCAGACACACTCCTGTACAAATACTAACCTCCCAAGTGGCCTCCCTGACTTCAGTCCTTTCTCCTCCTCATCTTTTCTCAGTTCAATCATGTCTAATTAGTCTTCTCTCCAAAATTCAACAGTTTTCTACTGCCTGCATTATCTAATCCACATCCCTAAAGCACCGGCTTTCAGTTACACTGACTGGCCTTTAGGGTATACAAGACTTAGCTAAAATACTAGCTCCATCATTTATTCTTACCACACTGACCCAGAAGAGCATTTCCCAAACTTCTCCAAAAGTAAGTATTAGCTGGTCTGTTCTACCCTGGAAATCTGCACACATCTGTGTTACAGTCTAAAAAATCAGTGTTTTTAACAAGTGCCCCAGAGAATTATGCTCAGAGAAATTTGGAAAACACTGACCTAAGTAAAATGACTTCATCTCTCTTAATTCTGTTTCTTCACCAGTCAATGAGCTATTGCCATTTTTCAGTGATTAAATTCAATAATCCAAATCAAATATGCAATAGTGCCTAGCAATATAGTAGGTATGAAACAAACACTCCCTTCACTAACTTTGAAGTCTCTTTCTCCCTATCCTCCTTGCCACATGGATTGCTCCCTGACTCCCCTAAGATGCCCTGATACTTAGACAACTGTGCCCCTCCCTCATTCCCTTGGCTTAAAAAATACTTCCTAATTTTCTAAGCTTGTTAAAATTCTATTTATTCTTTAAGACCAACCTAAAAGTTTTTCTCACTCTGAACCCTTCAGATGGGCTAAATTCTCTCAGTTCCAAAAGCATTTTATGGTTACCTCAATATGACATTTCTTCCACTGTTTAATAATTATGTCCCACTTCCTAGACCATAGTCTAGTTCCTTGACAGCCAGCACCTATAATATTTAATCTACAGGATTAAAAAATATGTATGTATATAGACAAATGATATATGAACAAGATTAAATAAGACATATTTACCCTAATTTTAAAGAAAACTGCTTATTGGTTTCATTTTTCTTTTATCAAATTCTCAAAACTGAGAATGATATTACCATACTTTTAATATATAATCAAAGCATCATTTTGAAAAGTAGATAACAATAGTTATATGTAAAATAATATCTACAGGATCACTCTCTAGTCCAGTTATTTCAAACATGGTAATCACCAAAACTATGAAAGTCAGTAAAATGTTCACTGCATTTTTCATGAGTGACAGCAAGTTGGATAATATTCATATTAACTTGGAAGATAGAAATACGATGTTCATCATGTAAAAATGTTCAAGACTAGAATGACATACAATATGGGCATGATCAAGGTAATGCAATAATTTAAAGCTTATTTCACAAAAACTAGGATTTTTGTGATAGGAAAACACAACTAGTAAAACTGGGGGCTAGAGAAAACTCAGTATTAATTAAAATGCAATCATATATTAAATTTTCTTAAAAAATCCATTAATTTAGGGATGTGTGGGTGGTGCAGTTGGTTAAGCGTCCGATTCTTGGTTCAGCTCAGGTTGTGATCTTAGGATTGTGGGATCAAGCTCCCCATCAGGCTCCGCATGCAGTGGGCAGCACAGAGTCTGCTTAAGACTCTCTCCCCTTCTCTCTGCTCCTTCCTCCCCCGCACTCTCTAAATAAATCTTTATTTTAAAAAAATCAATAAGTTTAAAAAAACTTTAATTTAGTGAAATAAGCTTTTAATAACTAGTGTTTTATAGCCGTTAAGTCCCTCTTATTTATAAAAGCCGACATTGTCTGCCTAGTTTGGCTTTTAAGTAAATTATAATGTAAAGATAAAGAAGAACCTAGAAGATCTGGAGATCTTTCCAGTTTTTTTAGCCTTCTCTGAGCAAATTCTTTTGTCTTCAGTTTCATTCACTTTTACAGAAATTTTTCCTGATAAGATTCCTGAATATCTACATTAACAATAATTTAACATGAATAAAATTACTAACTCAATAAACATCTAAAACTCAATATAAAAATGCTCATTTTGTGTAATTAGAACTAAATATAACATATACTTGGTTTACTGCATTTCATTAGTCCATTTAATTTACTGCCTCTTTGGGACAAATCATGATGCCATACTTACATTTCTATTACAGATCCCACAGTTGTCTGTCACAAAAAAAGATCATCTTCACCAGCAGTCAAATAGCGTGCAGTATTTTGTCTTCCACTGCTGGTTCATTCTGTGCTGCAAAATAAATTATTTCATCAACTTCTATAGACTTTAAGATCAATAAAGTTAGTCAATTATGTATGATCCTCTCATTTAATGAAATTCAGTGGCAAATTTTTAATCTTAAAAATGACAAAACTTCAAGACAAGGATACCTGCTTTCACCACTGCTATTTCACACAGTACTGGAATTGCTGGCTAAAGTAATTAGACTAGAAAAAGATATGAAAGGCACACAAAAAGGTAATGAAGAAGTAGAACTATCTCTATTTGCAGAGATAGTAAAACTGTCTCTATTTTCTAAAAAATCTAAAGAATCCCTAAGAAAACTACTAGAGTTAATAAACAAATTCAGCACAGTTGTAGGTTACAAATTCAATGTACAAGTCAGACGTGTTTCTGTATCCAGCAGTCAACAATCCAAAAAGGAAATCAAGAAACCATTTTAGAGAATGCTCAAAAACTCCATTTATAACAGCATCTAAAAAGAATAAAATGCTTAGGAATCAACTTAACCAAGGAGGGGAAAGACTTTGCACACTGAAAACTATAAAACACTGCAAAAAGAAATCAAGAGAGCCAATTAAATAGAAAAACAACTGTTCATGGATTGGAATACTGAAGATGACAATACTACCCAAAGTAATCTATAGATTCAACATAATTCTTATGAAAATTCCAACAGCCTTTTCTGTGGAAATGGAAAAGCCAATCCTCAAATTCATCTGAAATTGTGGGACCTTAAAAAATAATCCAAAACAATCTTGAAAAAGAACAGAGTTGGAGAACTCATACATCCCAATTTCAAAACTTAATACAAAGCTACAATAATCAAGTCAACGTGGTACTGGCCTAAGAAGAGGCAAATACACCAATAGAAGAGACAGTCCAGAAATAAACCGATACTTGTATGGCCAACTGATTTTTAAAAAGAGGTGCCATTCAATGGGAGAAAGAACAGTTTCCTTAACAAATGCTAGGACAAGTGAACTGCCACATGCAAAAGAATGAAGTTGGATCTCCAGTTCACACCATATACAGAAATTAACTCAAGACAGACCAACAATCTGAATGTAAGAGGTAAAGCCATATGACCCTTAGAAGAAAACAGAGGGTTATAAACACATGACGCTGGGTTTGGCAATAGATTCCTAGATATGAATGGCACCAGAAGAATGGGTAATAAAAGAAAAAACAAATTGTGGACTCCATCAAAATTAAAACTTTTGGGCATCAAAAGACATTGTCAAGCAAGCTAAAAGTCAAAAACTATACAACAGGAGATAATCTTTACAAATCATATACTGAGAAGGGTTTAATATCCACAATATATAAAGGAATGCCTACAACCCAACAAAAAGACAAAAAAAATTTTTAATGGACAAAAGACTTGAGTAGACATTTCTTCAAAGAAGATGTAGAAATTGCCAATAAATACATGAAAAAAATGCTCAACATTGTATGTAATTAGGGAAATGTAAATAAAAATCACAAGAATTGCCCTTCACATCTATTAGGATGGCTATAATTAAAAAAAAAAAAAGGAAAATAGTAAGCATTGGGAAGAACGTGGAAAAACTGGAACTCTTGTACACAGTTGATATTAATAAAACTACTGCAGCCACTGTGGAGTTTGGTGTTCCTCAAAAAATCTAAATAAAAACACCATATTATCCAGCAATTCCATTTCCGGGTATGTACCCAAAAGAACTGAAAATAAGGACTGAAAGAGATACTTGTATACCAATGTTCAGTGCAGAATTATTCACAAAAGTCAAACGGTGGACACAATCCAAGTACCCACCAACAGAAGAACAGATATACAAAATGTGGAATATAAATACAATGGGATATTATTCAGCCATAGAAAAAAAATGAAATTCTAATACATACTACAACCTGGATGAGCCTTGAAAGTATTACAGAAAAAAAAAAAAAAGCCAGACACAAAAGGACAAATGTTATGATTCCACTTATATGAAATAATGAAAATAGGCAAGTACAGAGTCGGAAAGTTGGTAAGTTACCAGGGGTTAGGGAGATGAGCAGAGTTATTGCTTAATGGATACAGAATTTCTGTTTAAAATGGTGTAGTAGTTGCGGAAATACAGTGATGATGCTTGCACAACACTGTAAATGTAATTAATGACACTGAATTGTACATTTAAAAATGGTTAACATGGTGAATTTTATGTTCATTTGACCACAATCCCAAAATGTTTTTAAAGTGAAACAAGTTCTCTACAGACACAGCAGCCCACACGGACTGTACTCCAGACCCACTGCCTTTCTACGGGGGCCTAGTTTGTGAAGAGATCAGGCCATCACCTTGGTTAGGGCCTCCTACTGCTTGCAAGTACAGCTAAGTTTACAATCATTAAGCCAAATTTTTCTCAAGATGCCTCTTATCCGGGGAATCCAGGAGCACCAACCAAAACATCATCTCGGCTATGAATCCTCTTTCTTCTCTCTCGATCTCCTCTCCTCCACTTGGCGACGCCCAGCGCAGGAGCGGATCACCCGGCACAGAACTCAGAACCAAGCACGCGGGGCGACTCGAGACCGTAAGCCTCACGGAACAGCAAGACGGAAGGTGCCTTCCTCCAGGTCCACGTGCTCCCCCGGTACAGGGGGTTAGTGTTTGACGGTAAGTATTTATCTTTAATAGAAACTTTTCCCGGTGAGATGGAATACAAGCCAGCTTATCCCGCTAAGTGTTTCACAGAACAGAAAATCCTGTTTCAGTACCAGTTTCGAAAGTAACTGAGTAAAAAAGTTTCTAAATCACCTTTTTGATATTCAGACTTTGGAAACTTACTCTTCACATCATGTGGATTCCATGGTCTGGCCACACCCCCACCCCCAAACCCTTTCACTTGACCCTTGAGGTGCCTACACAAAAGCACAGGAGACTGGCTGGTTTCTCTCCTGCAGGCCTGTCAAAACAGAAACTGCCCATCCCCACACACAGGACAAGAGGAAACACTACGGTCACCATGACTGTTAACAAAACCCCTATTTCCTAGAAGGCTCACCACCGCCCGCACCGAACCCCTACAGCTCTTCTGGCTTAACCCCTGCCGGGCAGACACTGCACTTTCACTGTTCATCATCCTCTCCATCCCAACTCCTGACACATCACCATGAGCCGATTTAAATATGACCCACCCGACTCCTAACTCAGAGGTTCCTAAACTTGCCCCACTGAGGTTGCTCATTAGAGATACACACTCTCAGGCCTTAATCCTGGAGCTTCGAGGCCGGAGACACCGACGTTCCTCAAGTGATAGTGACGCAGGTAGTCCACGGAATCTAATTTGAGAAACACCGTTCCCTGTTTTCAACTCCTAAAATCCTAAATTCAGTGAACTTCACCCCTGTCCCTCCAGCAACAAAACACGATGTGTACATTTGCAGCTCGAGGCCACCTGCACTGCCGCCTCTGTCATTTTAATCTCACTCTCAGATCCAAGCTCTGGTCCTTCCACACTTACTCATTCCCACACCTGCTCTTTGGTTTTACGAGGCCCTCCAGTTTCTTGACGGCCTCCTTTTCTTTATCCAGTTCCCAGTCTCCTTTCTTCTCCTACTTCACGTGGAGCTCACCATTTTAACTTTCTGCTTAACAGAATACTTGGCTCTCTCACATCTGTCTCTCATCTACGTGTTCTCCACAAACCCCCACGTCTGCGTGAATCTGGCAGGGGCATCTCAGCTTCCGTACTTAATCAAGGAATGCAGACGGAGAAAAACAGAAAATCATTTTTCTCATCCCTTCTCCAATCAAGTTCTGTCAATTTTTATCCCTAACATCTTTGGAATCAACTCGCTAGCCACGGCAAATGTCCTAGTTTAAACATGTATCGTCCCACCCGAACTACTGTTCAGTCTGATTATCTTGCCTCAGGAACACCCCTCAAATTTATTCACTGAGCCTGAGTGAATACTACCAAAGCAAGACGGGACTCCCATACAAAAAGCCCCATACTGGTTCTCCAGCCTATACAATAAAGGAAGCTCCTAAGGACAGCATCCGAAGGCTTTAAAGACCTGAAACCTAAATCTCTCTCTAGTCTTACCTCCCACCACCACTCTCAGATTAAGAATCTAGTTATACCAAATGATTCATAGTTCTCTAACCCCCTCTGTAGTTCTGAACTTCCTCCTGCTGGTATAAACTAGCTCTTTTACAGCTTATGAATGCTACTGTACTAGCACTTTCTGTGACTACCTCTCAAAAATCATTCCCTCCACTCTATTTTGTACATTTTTCTATTGCTGAACTTCATACACTGAAATTGTCTGCTTTTTATTGTTCCATTAAACCATGAACCTCCTAAAGATAAAGATTGTCTTTTATCTCTAAGTGGCTAGTAAACTGCCAATCAGTGTTGACTTGAAGTGATAGTTCTTGAAGGGAAAACTTCCTAAAGTAACTGTTGAGAGAAAATATTGAAATATTTATTCAACATAACATCTGAGTTCTGAGAACAAGGCACCCAGTCACAAAAAAATATAAAGATATCTACTTTCTAATCATTTCTTTAAAGAGTTTAAAATAAGGACGCCTGGGTGGCTCAACTGGTTGAGGGTCTGTCTTAGGCTTAGGTCAGGATCTCAGGGTCCTGGGATGGAGCCCCTCGTTGGGCTCCCTGCTAGTGGAGAGTTTGCTTCTGCCTCTGCTCCTCCCTTCCACTCATATTCACTCATTGGGGGTCTCTCTCTCAATAAATAAAGAAAATACTTTTTAAATAAAGAGTTTAAAATATAACATTTACAAATATAAGATTCAAGCCATTTTGACAAGCATATCATTTTTTTTGTTCACTGGTAATGAATTCTCAGAATGCACAGATAAAAAAACAAGAATAAAGCCAGTTTTAATAAATCTTGCAAGCTACAGTGACTTTTCCAATTCCTATATCCCATGCATAATTTTCAAAGTAGATTCTAAATGGGCAATAATGGTTGGGGGAGGAAAATAAACTAAAATGTATGCAGTATTCTAGATCTTAGCTATGTAAACTGTGTCCCCAACCAACTATATTAGCATTTATCTGGAAGTCCCTTACAAATGAAAAATCTGGAGCCCCATTCCATACCTACAGAATCAGATCTCCAGGTGGTTCATATGCATACTAAGAAGTTCACGAAGCTCTGGATATCCTCAAAACAATCCTGTGAGATATGACTACACCCACTGTATAAATGAGGAAACCCAAACCCTTAAGGATTTAACCCCATGTCACAAAGCTATCAATATTGGGAGATGGGATTCAAACCCAAGTTTTCTTTCTTTTTTTTAAGATTTTATTTATTCATAAGAGACACAGAGAAGAGACAGGCAGAGACACAAGGTAGAGGGAGAAGCGGGCTTCTCGTGGTGAGCCCGATGCAGGACTCGATCCCAGGAACTGGGATCATGCCTTGAGCTGAAGGCAGATGCTCAACCACTGAGTGACACAGGCGTCCCAACTCAAGTGTTTCTTTGAAAAGATCTTTTCTTCAATGTACTGTATCTCAGAGAACAGGTCTCGAATAGCATTATTTATCAGAAATATGATGCAAGCCACATTCATAATTTCAAATTTTCTATTAGCCACATTAATAAAAGGAAAAACAGGTAAAATTAATTTAAAAATGTTATTTAACCCAATATATTTAAAAGATTACCGTTTCCAAAGTATTCAATATAAAGAAATTATTAATATATTTTATATTCTCGTGCGTATGTACACTTTGAAACTTATTGTGTATTTTTACGTTTAGAGCAACTCAATTCAGAATAGCCACATATCAAGTGCCCAACAGCCCCATGTTGCTACTGGCTACCATACTGTGTAATGCTGGTTTAGAATGTCTTGCATATTAACAATTCTTAAAAATACAAAACTGACAACTTACTACCAGAATTGCTGAGTAAAGAAAATGAACTCCATGTTACTTTATCCACACCTGTTCTGGCACAGATAAAAAAGAAAAGTGCATATTGTGTTTAATCAAAATTGTTTGGTTTCAGTGATACCAATTCTGCCAAACTGATCCCTCCACTGTAATCCCGGAGAATTCTAAGGCCAAGGGGGCACAACACAAGGAATAGCACGTAATATTCAGAATGGTGATGGGTAGTAGTCCTCAGAAAACTTCTACATTTGGAACCAGATTTTTTTAATGGGGGGAAGGTAAAAGAATCACCTTTCAACCAAAGATGTTAGGATAGAATAGTATAATTCTAACTCTAAACCAGAATTAATTTGACAAACATAATTCAAACATACACTTCTCGCTGCAATGAATGATTTGTAAATTACATACCAAACTCAATATAATTTATGAATTACTATAGTAAAATTTATCACAATATTTTGATATGCAAATACCAATTAGTGAATGGGTTAAGATTCTTTAGGTGAAAATTCTTACAGAAAAGGACTATTAGGAAGGTAACATAAAAACAGAAAAGATTTAAAACCACATTACATATTTCTGCCTCTTAATTCTGGGGGAAAAGGGTGACAGACTAAATTTAAAAATATATAAAAGAGTTTAGAGACTGTCAGTGAATTTAAGTCATTTACCCACTCAACCAATTAGTAAAAAAAGTATAACTGAAAATGAAGTAATACTGTACTATTTATAATTTGTGACCACTCAACAAATTCACAGTCCTATTATTTGCATATGCTGTTATCTTCTCTGAAAATATCTAGGATTAATTACGATTTCACTTTTTTTTTTAATTTTTTTTATTTATGATAGTCACAGAGAGAGAGAGGCAGAGACACAGGCAGAGGGAGAAGCAGGCTCCATGTACCGGGAGCCCGATGTGGGATTCGATCTGGGGTCTCCAGGATCGCGCCCTGGGCCAAAGGTGGGCGCCAAACCGCTGCGCCACCCAGGGATCCCCCAATTTCACTTTTCAAGTCAGTCACAAATAAAAAAAAAACATCGTTTTTTCCCCACATGACAGATTCAGATAAATGATTTTCTTTTTAAAAGAACTAATTAAAGAGAGAAGTATAAAGTATCACATTATAAAGATTTGAAGACTTCCTGTATTTATCCAACTACTGACAGCTAATGTTTAATAAAATAGTTTTACTCTTTTTAAATTCAAAAATACACAAAACAGGAAATATTCTATATAAAAGCTGGTAGAGACAAAAATACTTCAAACTTTCCAACTTTTGGTATACAAACTCAAAAAAAAAAAAAAAAAAAACAAAACAAAAAAAACAAAAAGGAAGGAAGAAAGGAAGAGCAAAGACCAGTGAAAGGAGGAACAGAGAGATGGGGTGTAATTTAGCAGATACATCTTAGTATTTTTAAAATTGAGAGAGGTAACTAAAATGCCCTAATGTTTCCATTTTTAGCTTTCTCTCTCATCCCCTGCTAAAACTCAGCTTACAGAAAGCCAGGTCACCCTAGGAAAGAAAAGTTTTCAGTTAAAACTCATTTCAACTAAATGGGAGCCAATACCTGACATCACACTATTTTTAAGTAGGAGCTTCAACTTAAGACCCTAAGATCAACACCTGACCTGAGATCAAGAGCCAGGCACTTAATTGACTGAGCCGCAAAGGTGCCCCAAAACTACACTATCTTAAAGAATTATTTCCCTTATTTAGTACTTTCCTTAAAAAAAAAAAAAAAAATTACTGCATGGCAATCTATGACCTTCACAATCTTCATATCCAAGCATTAAACCTTTATATCCCCACCACCAAATGTGGCCTTTGCAATTTATTTTTTAAAAGTTTATTTTAAAAAAATATGAAATGTGAATGTGAACAAATACTCTTTTAATCTGATAAGATTAAGCAGAAATTTCATAGACTGTAGC